ACTGCGAAACCAGTTCTACTCCCGTCGGCCTTTGCGCCATCTATCTCTATCAGAACGCCGATTCGGAAGTAACAGCTAATAAGTAATGAGTGTGCTTTTTATTGTGTGATTCAGCCGCCAAGTACCCAGTATGTGTTATATATGTTGGGCATGGAGAATTCTCGGGAATCTTTCAACGGACTGTGTTCACGGTGTTGTGTGTTGAGTGTATGATTCTCGGGAATCTTTCAAACTCAACCATTGACGGACCGAGCTGACGGTGAAGTGTTGAGTGTATGATTCTCGGGAATCTTTCAACGGACCGACCTCAAGGTGTTATGTGTTCAGGGTATGATTCTCGGGGATCTTGTACGGAGTGCACTGCACAGTGAACTTGTTGTTCAGTTACCTAAGTATATATTTGAATAAAGTAACAACGATCTCAACAAAAACTCGGTGGCCTATCGCCCATGGGTTGACCTAATCTCGACTCACTGAGATTGAGGACTACATTTTGTAACTGACCCAATAAGAGAAGCAGGGGTTATGACTTAAAGGCTGATCAGGAATATTCCCTGGCTGGAATGGTTTGATCCAGTCACACTGGGAACAATCCTTCTTTTTTCGATAAATGTGGCGGGTGCTCAAGGTGAGGCTCTCCTCACGTGGATTCTCACCAGGATTTTTTCACAGTGTAGGGGTCAGGTACAGAAGGGCAACTTTCACGGTGCAAGTCCCGCAATGAGACGAAAAATTTTGAAACTCATAACCCCCTGGGACACTACTTCTTGCGTATCCAGGGACAGATTTTGCGAAGTTAAGGTTTTGCCTTTTAAGTTTGAAAGTTAAAAGTTAAAAACTTAAAAGTTTGCTATAGCTTCATTCTTAGGTTATATTTTCATTTTTTTGCATGATTTATGAAGGTTCTTAAAAAAAAACACCCTTACATGTATGCTGGTTGAAAGGCAGTATAGGGGGTCTATGCTCAAATAGCCTAGTGAGAACTAGTATGAATTACAAATGTATTATTTACACGTCAAAGAGAACAGGGCAAGCTGGTTCAGAATCTGGCACCATGGCTTTTGAAGAACGTTCTTTGGAGAAGCAAACACAGCAAGCATTAATAATTTGCCTTTGTATACAGTCATGATGTTTTTTATCATTGATATATGCAACGTCAATGTCATGTGACTGTACAGAGTATTTGTGTGTTACTTGCAGGAGGTGCTGTGCCAGAAGCGGACAGCTCTGACAGCCTTACTGGTACAGCTGTTAGAGGAGAAACAGAACAGAGAACAG